GATGGTTTAATCTACCATCAAATGAACCCATCCTTGATGGTTTAATCTACCATCAAATCAACCCATCCTCGATGGTTTAATCTACCATCAAATGAACCCATCCTTGATGGTTTAATCTACCATCAAATGAACCCATCCTTGATGGTTTAATCTACCATCAAATGAACCCATCCTTGATGGTTTAATCTACCATCAAATCAACCCATCCTCGATGGTTTAATCTACCATCAAATGAACCCATCCTTGATGGTTTAATCTACCATCAAATCAACCCATCCTCGATGGTTTAATCTACCATCAAATGAACCCATCCTTGATGGTTTAATCTACCATAAAATGAACCCATCCTTGATGGTTTAATCTACCATCAAATGAACCCATCCTTGATGGTTTAATCTACCATCAAAAAAACCCATCCTTGATGGTTTAATCTACCATCAAATGAACCCATCCTTGATGGTTTAATCTACCATCAAATGGACCCATCCTTGATGGTTTAATCTACCATCAAATGGACCCATCCTTGATGGTTTAATCTACCATCAAATGAACCCATCCTTGATGGTTTAATCTACCATCAAATGAACCCATCCTTGATGGTTTAATCTCCCCCCTGAGCCTTACTGTCCTGTCATGATTAAGGTAAGCTATAAGACGCCCATCACCTGTGATGGTAACGAGGGAGCGCCACCTCACTCACGTACACGCCTATTATTCTGTCATGACTGTAAGGGAATCTGTTAGGTGCTGAGTACCCCCCCCCCACACACACACACACACATACACTCACCCCTGAGCCTATTGTCCTGACATAGTGGTAAGGTAAGCTATTCAGACGCTGAGCACCTGTGATTTTTCCGGCCTGGATAAGATTGTAAGATAAACTGTTCCACAACACAACGAATGTTCGAGACGGCGCACAGAAGCCAAGCTGTAAAGTCTGAGCGTTTTTAAAATGCCTTATCACTACACAGTGGCGGATTCATTGCGAAAGATTGAGGATCTTCCAGACAAGTGCTTCAACGAATAGTTACAAACAATAAACACGCAAAGCCGAATTAAAACTTAAAATCAATGGGGGGGGGGGGGGGGTTAGAATGTAGAACAGAGGTCCTAAATCTTTTTAATCATTGGGGGGGGGGGGCGCCAGGTTCACTGTCTCTCAGACACTTGGGACAGATTCAATGTCTTTCAGATACTTGGGGACTGGTTCTCTGTCTCTTAGACACTTTGGACAGATTCACTGTCTTTCAGACACTTGGGGAGAGTTTGACTATCTCTCAGACACTGATGGGGACGAACGTATCGTTTGAAAATAATATTAAAGATTTCCTGTGCGCACTACACATATAATGTAATGTGTATGGTTGAGAACAATTAAAATAAACGCAATGCATGTGTTTCAAATTAAGAAAACCTTTAAACAAAATAAAGTTTAAATGGCTAAAGAGCTGGTAAAATATACGTTTCCATATTTGTCACCGTACCCGGGTATCCGTACGGCAGTGTCTTACTTACATCTATACGACCGCGACCTAAAAGTGTCTGAAATATATTAGCCATACCGACTGCATGCGCACAGAGGGGTAAGAACGATGAAAGTTAAACGATAACACTATATGAAAGGGACCATAGGATGTTATCAAATCTATTTTCGGATAATGATGGTAATGTCGACATGACCCCAACAATGATGAATAGTGTTGAAATCAAATTTTAAAAAGATGCCATTAAAATGTTTTGAAGTATTTTGTTGAAGTGGCGTAGCTGATCTTAATACCATCGTAGGCAAGCTCCCCAAAAGTGCAACTCCTAACATACACACACACACACACTTCTTTTGTATAATGTTATATATAAAACCCCTGCAACTCCTAGCATACACACACACACACTTCATTTCTATACTGTTATATATTAAACCCCTGAAGATCCGTCTGGGGCGTTCGCGCCCTTAGAACCCCCCCGCCCTTTGAACCCGCCCCCCCCCCCCCCCACTTCAGGTACGCCAATTTTATTTAAATATAAACATATTTTTGAAGAAAAAAAAATAACCCCTAGCCTCCTACCCACTTCCCCGTCGAACTTATTTCTCTCAAGACAGAATGCAGACCCTGTGATCTAACTAGATGGCAGGTGACATGTCTTGTGGCACACTGAATTGCACAAGTCGCATCAGTGGCATCTACACCGTTCTCCGCAGCCATCCTTTATGTCAGGCCCAACGTGAATTTGTTACACGACAAAGTACAGTGGCCGAGGCGGTGAGGCGAAACAAGTCAGAGGAGAAAAAAAATCACAAGTTTTGATAGGGAAAAAAATCACAAGTTTTGTTAGGGAAAAAAAATCACAAGTTTTGATAGGGAAAAAAAATCACAAGTTTTGATAGGGGAAAAAAAATCACAAGTTTTGTTAGGGAAAAAAAAATCACAAGTTTTGTTAGGGAAAAAAAATCACAAGTTTTGATAGGATAAAAAAAGGGACAGAAAAAAAAGACACAGAACAAATGTAATTGAAAAACTATTTTTAACCGTAATTGTATGTTTAAGTACATTTAACTGTTTATTGTAACTAAATAATCAGTATATGGAATTAAGAGACGGCTCATTAGGATCGATTCTCGATTATGATTAAATATTGTGTTATCTGTTTAATGTGCACATCTTAATCACACATTTTTTAATTCTATGATATGTTAATAACTAGTTACATTCTTATGCACAAAGCCAATAAACACGATTATTGCAGATTGAATAACAATAATTGGTAGTAAGCGATTGTGCAGAGATTAAGCGATTGCCCAAAAGGATTGTGATTTGATTCTCGGCGGGGGTGACAGATGTTTTCATTTTGTGTGTGGAAGTTTTTTGTATTGTGATTTCAAAGAATCTGCCTCTGATCTGCCCGACACATCTCGCGTAGTAAAGGAATCATTGAAAGCAAGGCGCACTGCACTGTTGTACTATTTTAGTGATAACACTTTTCAGACGAAGCATCAATGTCGCCAATTCGGCTTTTGACCGAAAGATAAACAAAAAAAAATCATTTGTTCCCCAACGTTCTTAGAATTCATTAGCGTGCTCCTCCGACTGTTCTGGTAAAAAAGAATTCAAAATTATTATTATTTTTTTTTTAAAACCTTGATTTACTTTGCGACTTTGCTATTTTATTTTTTTAATTTATTTTTTTGGTGATCCTCATGAATGCATATGTGTTTTTGTAAATGCGCGCGATTGTCATATATTATTACCTTCCTGAAACGTTTCGTGCGGTGATTTTTGGTTCCATTTACTATTCAGGCTATCATAAACTATGGACCTGGTTTGCTCCTTCACGGAGTCATGCTTACCACAATGTTGACCTGTTTTGGCCGAGACAAGGTTTCCTCCTTCCCTGACTCTCCTGCTTACCGCAGTCTCTACCCATTCTGAAAAAAAATACATATCGTGAGTTGGGATGCCAGGTGTAGACAAGTGAGTTTTACATGATCCCGGTAAAGAGTGGGGGAAAGAAATAAAAAAAAGGGTTTTTTGGGGGGGGGGGGATAAAAGGCTTCTTTCAGTTGGGGACATTTGCACGTGCTTCTACCCGACTTCTCTCCTTTTAACTTTAAGTCAAATAGTCGACCATACGTTCATACCAGTATTTTATGGGGGGGAAAGAAATAAAAAAAAGGGTTTTTGGGGGGGGGGGGGATAAAAGGCTTCTTTCAGTTCGGGACATTTGCACGTGCTTCTAACCGAATTCTCTCCTTTTAACTTTAAGTCAAATAGTCGACCATACGTTCATACCAGTATTTTACTAGTAAAGTAAATGTACTGCCTTTCCCGAAAAATATATCTTGTCCTTATGCCCGGGTAGTGGATTATGCCTAGGTAGTTCCTTGTGCCCAGGTAGTACCTTGTGCCCAGGTAGTGCCTTATGCCCAGGTAGTACCTTGTCCCCAGGTAGTACTTTGTGCCCAGGTAGCGTCTTATACCCAGGTAGCGCCTTATGCCCAGGTAGTGCCTTGCGCCCAGGTAGCGTCTTATGCCCTGGTAGCGTCTTAAGCCCAGGTACCGCCTATGCCCAGGTAGTTCTTTGTGCCCAGGTAGCGTCTTAAGCCCAGCTAGCGTCTTATGCCCCGGTAGTTCCTTGTGCCCAGGTAGCGACTTTTGCCCGAGTAGTGTTTTAATATTGATTTCCTCCTTAACGTTGTCGTTTTTCTTCAGCTATATCATCTCAACGGTGGAGGGATCAATGGCATAGGGTTCAGTTCCATGTCGATAACTGCTTCCTTAGATTACTATGGGAATATGGGACTATCTTCTTTAACCCCGGCGCGCAGCTAACTCTTAATGGTAGGCTGTCCAAACGTCAGTGAAAGAGCTTTCCGATGTGTACAACATTTATTCTGAGATACTATTTCATATTTTGGGGAGTAAGAATTGAACTTAGATCCAACTCCCAGGGTTCTGGTGACAATTCTGGTGTTTAATTTAAATATTTTTTTTTTGTTACATCAAACCACTGACTAGTGGTGATGAGCTATAATTTTTACGTTACACATACCCAGGGGGCATCATTTCAGTTTTTTTCAAAAAGGGGGTGGGGGGCGCAAAACCAAAACTTGGTCGGCTTGCTAAGTTGATTATTACTAAAGGCGCCACAGTACATAGAAATTTAAATAAAACCTGCAAATTCAGGGAGGGGGACAAATGCCCCACCCAAATGACGTACCTGCTCATACCCTGTGCAACATGTGTGTCTTTTCGTAATTAGTTTTGTCGCCCTGACAGAGCGACGTAAAATAAAATGTGTTAGGGTTATGATGACACAGTAAAAATGTGTTTGTGTTATTTTATTTTTTTAACGCAATTTTCTCTCATTGTCTCAGGCATTCGAGCGACTGGCAATTTGGAGAATTTTACAGTTCGCCAGCGAGCCGGGGTGAATCCTTCCACCGGAAATATGGCCCCCACTGCTCCGGAAGTGCTACTCTCATATCAACTGCCATCTGAGACGAGAGGAACTAGCGGATCGGAAGAACGCACGGGATGGTCAAGGGGCCAAGCAGGAGTTGACGTGAGCCAATCACCAAACGGCCATCACCAAAGCGAGCCGACACCGGGTCACCGGTGTGCACATTTTAATCCTGCACAGCAGCGTGGAACAAATAAACGTGGCATACTATTAGAGGCTCTGACCGATCCCGGTTCACTTTTGATAAACAACTCAACGCCGTGCCCTGAAAACTACACTGAATATCCCTTTTATACAGATGCACGGGCGTCGGGCCATGACGCCGGGACGCCGGAACGTTTCAGCGGCGTCAAGACTCCGCAAGGACGCCGGGGTCAAATCTCACAGCGTCACGTAAAATCTCACCCTCTCGCGGCGGCGAAAATAATCTCAGGGAGAACCACCATCTACCCCTTTATTGACGTCACCAAAGCCATGGACTACCTCAGCAACTACGACACGCAACCACGGCCAAAGAGGTGGCCTTTGCGTATCCTCCTCACCGAAGCCGAACAGCGGGATATGGAGAGGAGGAAAAATATGGCGAAATATTCCGCCGGAATGGCCGGAACACGCACGGGTTCGACTCTGGTCGGGATCCTGGGGACGCTAACGGAGCTGCTTTTGGGAAGTTTAAGATCCACGAAACGGTTGAAACGACAAACAGCGTTCGAGTCCGACCAAACGATTTCGGCAGCAGCAACGCTGTCGAACAGCGGAGGTGAGAGTTTTCCTACTGGCCATGCCATTGATCCTAATCCAAACACCCCGGATGCACTTAACATGGGTGAATCTATGAACCGAATTCGTGTAACAAACACGCCATATTCTGTGATACAAAAAGATGAGCTGTCATCGAGCGTCACACTTGCCAATAAACGAGTTACCGAAGATAACAAAACACCTCGACGCGATCGAAAACGAAGAAAGGGTACAAAATCACGTGGTGGCGTTGATACAAACTGTGATGTGGCGCCGAAGAACGCGAGTCAAAGTTCTAGCGTGAAAGAGCGCCATCGCGCAAAGAAATTAAACAAAGACGGGGATAGACACGACATCGTCAATGTTAAGAGTAGTTCGGATAAACCCAGTGAAGACGCAAGCGGTTCTCCGTGTGATGGACACAGGAAGAAGAGAAAGCGCAAAAATCGTTTCAACAAGATCCGTGGCAAGAGCAGCACCACGTCCCGCAAAGGATCCACCACCACGACTCCCAAAGGATTTACCACCACGACCCCCAAAGGATCCACCACCACGACTCCCAAAGGATCCACCACCACCACCCCCAAAGGATACAGCGCCATGACCCACAAAGAATCCAGCATCACGGCCCAAGGATCCAGCGCAACGTCTTCACCTGTTCAGGTGACATCCATTTCGCGGCAGCAGCTTGGCGAAAACCCCGCAGCAGAAACACAAAACACGGGCCTATTTCCTGACAAGAGAACAACAGCTGATAGCACGGCTCAGATTAGTCTGGACAGTGAGCCTTTGAAAAAAACCATTAGCCTCACGGTCATTCACCCTGCACAGAGCGGCAAAGTTGCTGAATATAACGGCTCACCGAAACCAGATGGTACCGAGGTTTGGACCCCAGTCAGCGTATTGGCAGACAACGATTCTGACAAGACAAGAATGACGAATACACCGCCGCGACCAGATTCGGAGTGGCACGACCATCAGAGACAGCAGCGCCGCAGGGGATCACTTGACACCGTTGGGGTGGAGACAACTACGTCACATACACAATTTCATACGGGGTTTACTAAGCCTGTTACACAACCCCTCCCTTCAACCAATGAACCCGTATTGCTGACCCTCAAAGAGGCGACAACATCGGTGACCAAATACAAAAGCGCCTATGACTTCTTGTCCGCCCAGCAAGGTCTGAGGCGTGACACGCCCAGCAATGCCAGGAAGGAAGCAGAGGCATTCAACCTCCGCCTGGCGACGAGCTTGTGCAAGGTTTTCGGGAAACGTTATGTACCTACCCCCATTGGGGGCAAGTGTGAGTAGGCCCACATTGGGGGCAAGTGTGAGTAGGCCCACATTGGGGGCAAGTGTGAGTAGACGCACATTGGGGGCACATTTGAGTTTAACCGTAATGAAGTGGGGGAAGCGTGAATGTACCCACATTGGGGGCAAGTTTGTGTAGATCCACATTTGGGGCAAGTTTGTGTAGATCCACATTTGGGGCAAGTTTGTGTAGATCCACATTTGGGGCAAGTTTGTGTAGATCCACATTTGGGGAAAGTTTGTGTAGATCCACATTTGGGGAAAGTTTGTGTAGATCCACATTTGGGGCAAGTTTGTGTAGATCCACATTTGGGGCAAGTTTGTGTAGATCCACATTTGGGGAAAGTTTGTGTAGATCCACATTTGGGGAAAGTTTGTGTAGATCCACATTTGGGGAAAGTTTGTGTAGATCCACATTTGGGGAAAGTTTGTGTAGATCCACATTTGGGGAAAGTTTGTGTAGATCCACATTTGGGGAAAGTTTGTGTAGATCCACATTTGGGGCAAGTTTGTGTAGATCCACATTTGGGGAAAGTTTGTGTAGATCCACATTTGGGGCAAGTTTGTGTAGATCCACATTTGGGGAAAGTTTGTGTAGATCCACATTTGGGGCTAGTATGGGTAGATCAACATTTGGGGCTAGTTTGGGTAGATCAACATTTGGGGCTAATTTGGGTAGATCAACGTTTGAGGCTAGTTTGGGTAGATCAACATTTGGGGCTAGTTTGTGTAGATCAACATTTGGGGCTAGTTTGGGTAGCTCAACATTTGGGGCTAGTTTGTGTAGGTCAACATTTGGGGCTCGTTTGAGCAGGACCACGTTTGCGGCAAGTTGAATGGACCCAGATTTGGGGCAAATGTGAACCTATGAAACTGAAATTTCATAAACCTATGAAACTGAAATTTCATATCACAGACAAGCCAAAAAGACAGGAGCAATAATACTCCAAATGTGCCCCATGACAGTAACTTTGAAAGGGGGTGTAGAGGGAGCATCACTTACTTTTCTTTGTACAGAGGAGCGGAGTTTTCGGAAACTGATTAAGTTTTATTCTTGGTCGGGGAGTGGCCCTGGGCAGCACTAACCTTACTATCTACTGCCGCACGAACAGTAACAGGTAACGGTCAAGCAGATATTTTGCCACAATAGTTTATGACAAAATTGATTATAAATAAAAACATTTTAAAAAAATAAATAAATAAAATAGAAGTTTGCTTAAAAGGAAAGTAAAACTAGACAGAACTGAATCAACCGAAAATGAATGCAGACATAATTATAACGTAATTCTTCCTTGTGCTGTCCCAATGAAGCTACTACTACTAGCCAACTTGGGATTTAAAAAAAAATTGAAATAATTTAACATTAAGGACTGAAAAGAACAAGTGGACATTCCTGTCAGGGTCTCAGTCAAATGAGGGAGTCAGTTGAGGGACAAAGTGGATGTCCCCTAATGATTTTATATTATATATATATATTTTTTGGGCGAAATATTCCGCCGGAATGGCCGGAACACGCACTGGTTCGACTCTGGTCGGGATCTTGGGGACGCTAACGGAACTGGTTTTTTTTTTTTTTTTTTGGTGGTGGTGGGGGGGGGGGGGGGGGGGGGGATGCACTGGTTTGAGATTCAACATTATTTTGTTTTCAGACAATTTGTTTGATACTAACACACGTGTGATACTAATACATATTTGTTGTTTCAATGTTATTTAACCATTATGTGACTTCTTTGTTTGTGTTCTTGATTGATTCATCATTCATACAACAATGGTAACCGAGCCTTGGCATGACAGAAACATAGGCCCTTGCATTGAATGAACGCCATGTCTAGATTTCATTGACACATCAACAAACAGAAATGGCAGGGAGACACAGGTAAGATTGGATCAAACAAAAACATCATCACCTCATCATCTTCATGGTTGACAATGGGGCCCATGGCCCCTGTCCATCCATCACTGTGTGTTATGCAATCAACTTGTGACCACTGACACTGACATAATCTGAGATTCAACAACAATTGAAAAAAATAAAAACAATTCAATAACTATATTTTTAAACATTCTGTCGTTTGTTTTTTTTATTGAAAGTTTACCTAGACACACCCCAAATGTGAAGAAAAAAAAGGAAAAAAAATTGTATTATTCTTGCTAAACTCTCAAGATGATAATATTATTAATATACACCAAACCCAGGCTTGCAACAAACACAATGTATTATCCTTGCTAAACTCTCAAGATGATAATATACACCAAGCCCAGGTTTGCAACCAACACAAAGGATTCTCAAAAGACAGCAAACTCTGAACCTTTTTATATTTAATAGAATAATTTTTTTTTTTTTTTAAAATGACTATGTTTGCCATCAACTCAATATGTATACTTATATACAATGCACTCACCGCCTCTTTAGGGATGGAGGAGTTGGTTGGGGGACAGTGTTATCAAGATTTGATGATTAGTATGGCAGGTCAAAAATCAGAAATACATAAAAATTTCATTTTGCCATGTCAAGGACATCGTTCACTTTAAATTTTCTTGTTTTACAAGCGACAAACTCTTTCTCAGAATGTGACCCATGAGGTATTTTGGGATTCAATTTTTTTTTTTAATATTAAAATAATGCTCAATAAAACTGAAAGTAGTGAAAGTAGACAATGGTGGTCAAATTAGCCACCAACGGAACTAGAGAGGGAGTCGGTAAAGGATCTAACACCTGGTTAGAGATTCAAGCCAAGATCAGCTTGGAGGTGTCCATGAATCAATAACTGGAAAACCCCCACATCCTGACAAAAGTTATAGGACCCGGTTATTCAAGCACACCCTTTGGTGTTGGTAGACTCCGTGCTTGGGACATTCCTTTGTGGGAAAGCAATAGCAAATACGGGAGTCAAAGCTTGAAAAATAACACACACACAAAAAAATACTAAAAATGCATGTATCTCTTGTATAAAAGTTTAAATTTTTTTTGACCAATGTTTTTGCTTTTTTCCAAACGTTTTAAAAGATTACAGAAAATAAAGACATTATTAGAATAAGTCTATGAGTGAAGTAACATGGATAAACTGATTAGAATAAGTCTATGAGTGAAGTGACATGGATAAACTGAAGCACAATATGTTTTTGTCTTCTTCACTCTCCCACTGATACATCAGCTCTGCAAGATGGGAACATATGCAGCACTGAGTCAGCCTGTGAGTGAGGACACTCTTGACACAACTATTAGCAGATGACAATCTTCAATTGAAAGAAATAAAATAACCAGACTGAACCCTTTTTTAAATATTTTTTTTTTTTTTTCCACTTGTTTAGATATTTTAAAACAAAATCTGACAGAGTTATAAGTAACATTTTAAACACATTTTGAGAGGAAATGCATCAATTAATAGATAAAAATAAAAGCAGTCAGTGACTTAAAAAAACAACAACTGTATTCTTAATTTATAGAATAGTTGACAGAGATATTTCTATTATTTGCCTTGATGCCTGTCAATAAAATGCAATGACCAGTTTTTAAAGTTAAGTCGGACGTCACACTATTCACTAATGTCTCTCGTTGAGCTAGATCTAACTTACTTGCCACATAAGAATTACTTTTTGTTTCCTATTGAAAAAGTTCAATATTTAATGCCCTCCGAATAATTAAATATTATTAATAACCAGGTTTAAGCACTTTAAGTTTTAAAAAAATTGCTTGTATAAGAACAATAATAATAGTTTTAAAAATTAACAAAAATGTTATGGTGATCCCATATCAGCCACAGAGCTCTAAAGGGGACACTTTGAGAACCACTGATTCGAACATAAGCATTATGATGGCAAAATTTTCCAAGGACCAAAACTGGTTCCACCTCATGACCAGGCCTTCCATTCGACGCCAGACATCATGAGTGCTGTGTTTTAATACATGGTTTTATTACACCACATCAAGTAATGACACAGTATAAAGATATTTAATAATAATTTTAATTCAAACACAAACGTTTAGTTATTTCCAGAAATCTCTCATTGGAACTAGAGGAGACTTTTTATGACCCTTCTGTATCATCTAACATTAGGAGTTGCGTATCATCTAACTTTAGGGGTTCTGTATCATCTAACATCAGGGGTAGCTTTGAACAAGTTGCAAATATATGCATACCGCATACATCATTGACATTTTAAAAAAAATTCATACTATTTAGTCAATGCAATTGAAGTCAGAAAAATAATCATTCATGCAAAAAAAAAAAAAAAAATTTAATAAAAAAGTTTTTAAAAAATCTGAATGGAAATTTAATACAGTCACTCAGCAAAATTATTCAATATGATCATAGTTCAAATGAACAATTTTCATCTAATCTTACAAATAAAAGATTATCTTAATGCCATAATTAGGAGTTTAAAGATGTCCTTGTAATGCATACACTGTCGCCAAATGCATACTGCAGGACAGTTAATAAACAAATAAATCACAGCTCTCCCGGGTTACGTACTAGGTATCATCATCATTCATGATGATCATCATCATATCCATGATATAACTCATTTAAAAAAAACCACAGAACTTCTCAAGCCCGTATTGGTTTGTTTAAATTTTTTTGTGGGGGAAAAGAAGTGGCAAATTTACACGAGGGAATAGGGTTGGAAGAAATTACTTACATGAAAGATGATTTATTGTTAAAAACACAATAATCCATACTATCGTTAAATTTTTTCCCCAAGAAAAAAAAAGGGATTTTCTTTTGTGTTGAGTAAAACACACAAACGCATTAACATATTAAATTTGTAATATAATTTTAGTCTATCTGTGATTGACCTACTGACAACACCTTTGACTTCCAACCACTGAGCCAATCAGCCTGTGCCACCCAAATACAAGCAGAGCTAATTTTACTACATGAAATAGATGCAGGTGTAATTGAGTATTTCCCTTACTCTGAATACTAACAATCTGTTGCCACTGCTAAAAAATAGATCAATATCAAATAGTATTACTCTGTTCACTTGGTTCTTTGAATTGACAAACAGTTACAGGACACTTTCATTAAAACCATCTGAAATGGGATCCAAAGAATGCAACTGTTTGTGTTGTTATCTTAGTCATCATAAGATTTAGTTACGGTACCTCATACAAATTTTAAGATCCTGCCTGCAACATCAACTGAATTATCAAGAAAATAATTAACATTGTGGGAGAGGGGGGAGAAGGAGTAATTGATGCAATTTTTAGCTTCTTTTTTTATAGCCAGATTTCACTGAATGTCTAGTTACGCCTGATTATTCAATAAAGCAGAATCACTGATTATTAGGTTAAGCTGTCTCTATACACACTCAGATATGTTTTTAAATCGCTGGGGGGAGGAGGTTACCTTTTATGGATGTCTATATAAATCTAAACATCACTGTTTAATTCAATACTGACAGTCACACGAGACATCTCATTAAATCATTTTTCTTGCCCAAGTTAAACAACGAGGGACACCAAACCCTTTAAAACCACAGATCATTTCGCTTACTCTCACATATTTCAGAATGACTATTTTCCCTTTCTAATGTGTTCAAGATTTGTTAAATTGTTTAAAAAAATGATGTGCTCTCTGCCTCCAAAGCACAACAGCCAACACACTTTCAGTGCCGGTATACAACAAATTTATACAAGCCAATAAATTGCACCTTTGTGATTTGAGACGTGGCATTGCTATGATGGCCATAAACAACCAAGTCAACCTTATCAGCAACATTTTCTTTTCTGACATTAAACTATTAAACATTGAGCCTGCTGAAACAGTGTTAAAGATACAAAATGTATTGCTCCCCATTTAGATTTAAATTTGATACTAAAAAACTTGTTTCTTAGAATTGGCGTCACATAGGTGACCTCAAAATACATTCCTTTACACATTACATTTTTTTTTAGTTAGAAATTCTAATCTTTCTTTAGAAAATAGTTTAATAAATTATAAATTTTTTTTTTTAAATTGATGTTTTCAGAAACCTTTATTGCATCATTTAAAATAAAAAAAAAAAAAAAAAAAAAAAAAAAAAAACAGGCGCAAAGCTAAGCACCGCAAGTCTTATTCAGAAACAATTAAAGATTATGCCACTCAATCATGAATGATGTTCCGGACTCCCCGTTCAGGCTTCGGGATATTGTCTGTGGAATGCTGTGCTGGTACCAGATCTTCTGGATGCTCTGGAAGTTCTCCTTGCTCAGTGTCAGTGGATTGCCTCGTCTGGGGGGATGGACAAGATTCATGAGATGTACTTTTTTCAACATTGCAGTCATTTTTAATTTTTTCTGACGTGATTAAAAGAATTAAAAGTACAATAGAGAAAATATGAGACCAGCCGTCAGGAAAAGAATAAGGCCTGTTATTCTCATTTTATCTAGATAAAATTAGTTGCCAGTTGTACAAATACACAAACAGGGTCAAGGAGTAAAACAATTTCCATATCATGTTAAGCATTTCAACCCTATTTTTCAGTTTTGCATAGGCATATATTTTTTAAGGCTGATGCACAACTGTAGAGACAGAATTTTGAAAATAATGGTTGGGTGGAAAGTCTATAAATAAATATTT